GGATAGTCATCAATAGGTATCTTAACCACTGTTGCTGTAACTTTGGAACCAACATGTTCAAGTAACATCAATAAAAACCTATTATGAAAATTCATATTGATATTCATAAACATGGTATATATCATTCGTGCCTGATCATCTCGATTTATTAAACTAATTTACCGTTGATAATTAGCATCTTTTGTACAATCCCATGACCAGACAAGATAATTCTTGTCAAGATAGTTGATAACTTCAGTGTTACAAAGCAGGGCTCGAAATGGGCCACTATTTTCTGGCCCGATCCGGCCCAAAGCGGTCCATCAAATTTGCTGCCCACCAGGCCCAACTTGTCGTTGTTTCGGCCCGGCCCGGCCTGGCCCATCAAATTTGTCGGCCCGCCCGGCCCAGCCCAACCTAGGCCCAACAAAGTTGTTTTTAGAAAATATTTTTTGCAGAACTGATTATAATAATAAAGGTCGTATTTCAAAAGAAATTTCCGTAGAGTACATCAATAATTTATCGATGAATTTAATGACATTGGACCATTAATGTAATAACAAAAGAAGATATTAACGAGTACCACAAAAAACTACTAGATGTAGAACAAATGAAAAAAAACACATTGCACATGAAAAAAAATCAACATTTATCTGAGAAAAGATTAGGGGTATTCATTAATGCTTTACATATTCCACGAATAAATGAAGTTTATCACAAGAAAAAACAATGAACAGAAAGAAGTTTTTGTTGATTACGTGTGAAAGCAACCGTAAGAAAACAAATAACAGATTACATAAACAAAAAGGTTATTGGTTTACTGTACTATCCAATGATACTTTCATAGACATTTCCATGATATATATTTTGTAATAATTTCTGAACCTGATGACATTTATAAAATTTAATAAAAAAAATCTTGTCGGGCCGGGCCGCCCGACAATCTCGTCGGCCTGCCCGGCTCGTTGGTCTTTCTCGATTGGCCCGCCCGGCCCAACAAAAACAATTCGTTGGCCCGGACCGGGCCATGTTGGGCCGGTCCGGGCCAGGCCGGGCCGCTGGGCCAGGTGGCCCGTTTCGAGCCCTGTTACAAAGTACATTTTTACAAAATATATGTGTAGCTGCCGTTCTATTTCGATGCAAATAGAATAACAAAGGACGTCGCTTTACGTTAAAAGAAAACGAACAAACTCTTTCAATCTGTGATATAAAATGTTTGAAAATCTACTTCGATAGAATCAAATAATGAATGATTCATGGCTTCATTGAGTGTTCCCATATATAGTACTGGTTCTGATGATGGATAAACTTGGGCAAAATTTTGTGCAAATTTTTGTATTGTCGCTTGAATATCATTTTCTGATATTTCTTGTTCAAATCGTAGTTCGGGCAATATAGCAACAAATAAATTCGAACATTATGTATTTCGACGACATCTTGGTTGGCTTTCACGTTTCACTTTTGAACTATTCATCAAAGAATTCGGTGTATAATTCTACACTATAATTCAAGTCATCTTTGATGAAAAGTTTAAGGCTGAAATGCCCTTAAAAATCTTAGATCACTATTCTTTATGCATCACTCATTAACTATCACTTACTCAGACTTTTTTCTGGTTCGATAAATACATCTTCGTTTTCATCAAGCTATGTAAATTGTGATTATTAGAAATAGATAATTGTTCTTTATAATAGTTACTTACTTCGCTATCATCGATCTCTATATTACTATCATTACTTGATTCTTCTATGTCTTCAGAATTTAACATGTTTATCAATTACTGTTTTGAAAAATAGCAACATGATATAATGATAAGACTCAACAGTTTTTATACAGCATAAAAATATTACATGATATAGGTTGTTTTTCTCGTGGCGTGGTCAATGTTTATATAAGAATGCAAAGGTGTCATTAGTGAAGATGCACAAAAAAGAAGAAGAAAATGAATTTATCAATTTCCCTTGAAAATAATTTTGTCCAACTAATTGACTCACTTGGTTTTTTCCAAGTAAAAAAGTTGTCTCTTTGCAAAAAAATGTCATGATTTCAATTTGATCAATTAGAGACCGGCAAAACTCACTTTTGGGAATCTATATAGTCAAAAACGATCTTCCTTATGAGTCAGTTACTTCACGGAAGCTATACCGAACCTTACTCAACCAATAATTTCAAATTTCAATGAAAGTGATTCTGTTTAACGAATAAATTGTGACTAAGATATCAAAGCTCAAAATTAGCTCAGTTTATCCCAATAGGTTTCTGAATCAATCAGATTGAATTTTCTCAACTTGTGTTTAAAGATTCTTCATTTAGTGCTTCTGAGAACTAGTTTTATGAAAAACAAAAAAAAACAAATGAAATCAATCAAAACCATATAACAAGTCCACAATCATCTTTATCAACAACAAAATATGGTTCTTTAGTGATAAACGATGAATAAAAAATGTTTTGTATATACTAAATCAATGTCATCAGCACCTTCATAATAACAAAGTCGAAAGCAAAAAAAAAAATCAGAAAAAATTATGGCTGCTTTTGCAATGTTTTGACAACTTGTATCGTCTGGCGAAATATACATAACATATAAAAGTATTGGTAAGGAACTCAATGGTAAATGTGAAAGTGTAGATAATGCAATCCAATCAACAGTGGTAAAACGAAAATTTGAAAATGAATAACTATTCAATGAATCGAGACTATCAGTAAGAATAAGATTAGTAAGATTTGGTAAATTCACACAAATTTGTCTATGACATCGTAATAAATGAAGTTCAACTATTTTATTTGGAGATGTAATTGGAGAGAATAAAATAGTAGATGATGGAAGATGGTCGGACATATTCAATTGAATAAGATGAGAAGAATGTGATTTATTGATTGACAAAGACTATGTAAACAGTTGTATTTCACTAATACATCTATCTGGAACACATTATGGAAAAAATTCATTCGAAATTCATGGTAAAATGTAGAATACATGTTGACGATTTTTAAGTTTGTTCGACTACGAAAACAAAAAGAAATAAAGTATTTAAGAGAATAATATACTATTGAAGTAATCTGTAATATTTATAACAACTTACATAAAATTCGCCTGGAGTTGTAAATGATTAATTATCAGGCCAAGATTCAGAAATAAATGTTGCACTTGTTATTTGATGAGAATAAGATTGATTATGGAATGGTAAGTATCTGCTAAGTTCTATATGTGATCGATCATCAGCAATCATGAAAGCATAATGAACATCAATATGACGAAAATCTGTGAAGAGCGTTGAATAAGAAAAAAAAGATGGTTCCATTCCTAGATCAAGTGATCGAAGAGTAGACAGACGATGAAAAAATTTAGTGATAAATTCTAATCAATTTCATGATGAATAACTCACTTTTTCGGTTATACCTGCCATAATAAAACAAAAAATAGATTTAGAACAATATATACCTATGGGGATCAGCAAGTTCTAAGAACTGGTAATATTTCTTCAATAGAAAACGTATTGTATTTATTTGTATACATCAAACGTTAGAAGACATCATAACAATGTTTGATAACAAACTCGATTTACTTTTGATTAATCTTTTTGTACAGATTAATTATTCGTCAGATGCATTTTATATGATCTATTAATGCTATCTAATAATCGCAACAATGTTTAAAAAGCATTAGTTAAGAAATTTTCAACAAAGACTTTCATGAGGTATCGATGGTATCAAATCCATCATGGTACTGAAAACTGTATATTAAAAGTATTGTTATTAAATTTCTCAAATGAACATAGAATTTAATGTTCAATATCTACATAAATGCAATAAATTTCATTAAGCAATATCTGAGCAATCGGTTTGACACATATCGATAAATACAAAAAAGATTATTCAATAGTAAACCGAGCTTACTATCGAACATTGTTATCATGTCTTCTAACGCTTGATGTAGACAACTAAATATAATATGCTTCTTATTGAAGAAATATTACTAATTCTCAGAACTTTTCGAACATCCACACCCACATATAAATCTGAACGAAAGAAATTTTGATTATTATATCAAACAACTAAAAACTATTATGCGTCATATATTGTACAATAAGTAAGATTTAAGATAATGCCAAGTTAGATGAGTGTAAAATTAAAAACATCAAAGAAATTTCCTAGATCTCTAACTATTAATGTTGTCAAATGTGATAAATAAGATCAAACTCTTAATTGAAGAGGTGATGCATAACAATTAATAACAAGTAATTGTTTTTCATTTAATTGAAGTAAAGATAAAAATGTTTGAAATTGAAAATATCGAGTAGGTGATAAATTAACAGGACGACAAAAATTTCCTTCCATTAATAATATTGTTAGACGAGTATTAAGATTACTAAATGGTCATAAAACGTCTATACAAGATAGATAAGAAAATATTTCAATCAATGGGGTAGATCGGGCAAATTATCGAAGACACTGCACATGTTGTTGTCGACTGAATGAAGATGACAAAGAAGAGGTCACTTTTGATATCCGTTGTGAACGTTCATTTTGCTATTTTTCTCTTCATTATGTTCGATAGGTGATTGCAATAATTGTCCAATGAGTTCATTTTTATTGTATGAGAAAAGAATATAAACATATCTGACTTTTGTCTATATAGAGATCATCATTATATTTGACTCATAATAAGCTTGCTTTTATGTTTTTCTTACTGTATATCAATTTTATCGATTTTGTTTTCATTACTCTTGTATAACTATTTCCAAAAAAGACGTAAATATTATATTTAAAGAATTCTTCATTACAATGTGTAAAATAAATCATGGTTAGCAGACACACCATAATAATTTAATATTAGTTCGTACTGTTAACAATGATAGCATCTAAAATGATGACTAATTGGACGTAAAAA